CTGTTCTTTAAGGCTGCCAAATATTAAAATCGGAGTCTGGCCGTTCAAAATCTTTCTTTGTGAAATAATTGGTCACATTTTTGTCTCATTGAAAGAAGTTGTACATGAATTCTGTATTTGCTAGAACGAATTGAATTAACGCATTTTAATAGATTGCAATTTATTCTTATAAGACCTTATAATACAGTCGATAAATACTGTGTTATTTTCAGAGATGGTTCTTATTGATTCATCCTTTATATATCTTCAGTGAATATAAGTCGTTAGTGGATCGTGAACGACCGCTAAATTCCATTCAAGTATCTCGTTACTACGACGGTTGATGGCGCACGGTATTTTGCAATTAGTCGCCGTGGAAAACAAACCATGATGAGAGATCGCAACAGCCAGAAAAGGTACGATCATCACTAAATTCGTGAAAAATAGATATTTAAAATAATTTCGGTTGTTTGCCATTATTTATTGTAGTTTTATTCCCTGTAAGAATTTTAAGAATTGTTATAATTTTATTTCAAACACAACAATCTTAAATTCTGTACAAAAAACATATTGGATGCTCTTAACTCACAATCAGATTACTATTTTTCTTTATTAAAACGTTTGAAACCTCAAGGAGGCTTATTCCCGCCATATTAGTTCCTTACAGATAAGAATATGATATCTATCTTAGGAAAACAATAAAGCCAAAGGACAAAGCAGTGAAATGAACTACCCTCTTAAATAAAGAACGTATTGTTACCATAATTGCGAGCCGTTTAAGTTTCGGACTCCCCTTTTTTATCACCCTGTATACTAATGTATTATGTAATCTAATGTCAGAAAACAGATTAATCTCCGGCGTGAAGAACAGCGCGAGATGGAATGCGTTCGAGGGAGTAACGGGCACAAAATATCCTGTGGACACGAATCGCAAGGCCACCACTCCTCCCTCTAGCAGGGGCGACGTAAGTATTCGAAAACCATGGGGGATCTCGACTTCTTTTCCGCGCTACTTGATTAGCTGCATAAGTATTCGATTTCGGTCTTGATCCTTTAGTCCAGTCGTACGTCACACTCGTGATTTTACTGTTTACATGTACTGAGTGAGTTTTAAAATTACCCATATGTACATTCATTGTAAAACCTGGCAGATATACATTTATTTAATGATTGTTGTATAACATTTCATACGCGGTTTGATAAAATGATTTTTGTATAACAGTACAAACACGGGTTGATAAAATTGTTAAAAACTTATTGCACGCGATAATTCTTATTGACTTAATATTTCGTAGAAAATAATCAAATAATTCGATAAGAATTGAAAGAGGGTAAAAAAATGTCAGTTATGTATTGGCCAGCAAACGTTCTTCCAGTCAAATAGTTCACAGTCAGCGTAAATAATGGGGTCACGATACGAGATTAGTCTGTACGTTACGTCATTGCCATAACTTCGTTTTCTTTTCCTGCGTTACATATCTGTGTCAAGCTTGCAGCTTGAGCTACCGATTTCTTCCTTCTTACAGAGTACGCAGTACACAATGAATTTTGTAGTATGATTTATTATATAGGGTGTCCCCGGATTAAGCGATCGAACTACACCAGTGTATCCTACGATTAAAAATAAGGGAAAAATGTTATATAAACATTGGTCTACAAATGCTTTATAAAAAAAGTTATACTAAAGAAAATGAACTTAAAATTAATAGCGAATTTGTTGTTGGCGCACTGGAATGTATAAATAACAAGACGACAATATTTTTGAAAAAGCATTTTCAGGCCAGTGTTTATATAACATTATTTCTTATTTTTACTCATAGAACATACTGATATAGTTCGATCGCTTAATCTGGGAGTACCCGGATAATATATATATATATATATATATATATATAAACAGCGTTAATCATTATCATATCATTAATATATATATATACACACCCTTTAATCATTATACTTTACTTCGATAGCTTGGCGTATTCTGAGTATAAAAGTACTAAGGTATTTTTGTCCTAAAACTTATCGTTGCTGCAATATACATACTCAATTTGTAGTAGTCTAGGTAAGGGAGGATATCATGTCACATTCAATTCTCTTATGATAAAGAACTACAAATTGAGCATGTATATCTCAGCAATGGTAAGTTTTAAGATAAAAACACCTTAGTACTTTTATACTCAGAATACGCCAAGCTACCGAAATAAAGTATAAAAAATTGGACATTCCATTTAAAAAAACCAAGGTGACCGCCATATCTTCCCTACGTCTCCACTTGCAGAAATATTATTTACACGATATTATGTAGTTTCTTAAACCCTACAACTTCTGTGAGTAACATTTTCTCGTATTGTTTGAAATAACCAAGATATTTAAGTGGACAGAGTTCGTGAGACACACCGTATAAGCAGCGAACTGTCTTTTGTTTATTACAACTTTAGTCATCCAGACTGTTTCTTTGAAAACGCTTATCCACCTTTTATATTAATTTATTAAGTATAACACGTATATTAAAATAGAGTAGAAAATTATAACCCAAGTGGCATAATCTACCACGAAGTGGTTAAAAGCATGGCTGCAGTTGTTCGAACTCTTTCTTTGAACGGTTGGCGCCTAACGTATTTATCGATCGTATCTCTGGCAACGAACAAAACGTTACTTTTCTCCGTACAATAGCGAAGGGGTCGGTTCAGTCAAAACTTGTTTACAGTTATCACCGACGCGTTTCGATCTTGATGCGCAACAATTGCATAAACTTCATCCAACTATATTCTTTTATTAATATTACCAAAGGCAATACTCACGTATAGTCTAGGCTATAACTATATCAAGTATTCTGATCATTTATCGAATGCTCACTTTCTCAGAGAATATACATAAAAAATCATTTACGAACGTCAATTATTTTCGTATAGTATATAGAATTATTGCACGTAAATATACAGAATTTTCCAATTATTCTTAAACAGAATTAAGAGTTTTAATAATATTCTTATATAGAATTACAAATCTCAATTACCTAGTTTTGTATAAAGTTACGGATTTCAATTATTCTTATGTACAATTACTGGTTACACGTACATACACAATTCCAGACCGCAACAAGTTGCACCGCTGCAGTGTGTATCATTATTAATTCCGTTGTCTAATTGTAAGATGAATGCCACAGAAAATATTAAACCACAACCTACGACTTTCTTGAATTCTCAATTGTACTTTATTCACACGTCAACATGTATATAGTTAATCATTTCCGAAGAAAATTTGCACAACAAGGAAGTTATAAAAATGATCGCAAAATTGAGAAACATGTGCTTCTGGGTTTCAAAAGGAATTATATTTTACTATTTCTCTTTTATAATCATTTGAAGATTTATGTTTTAGTTCTGAGAGATTGGTGATAAAATATAATATTTGGCATGCCGTTAAAATTCAATGATTAGTGCACCGCAACATATACGAGATTGAAAATTGTTTCTCATAGAGAAAAAAGAAATGCATTTTCTGGAGACTTATATAGTAGAAAGAAGAAAAATTGTTATCTGAATAGAAAATAAGTCACTCTTACATATACACATATATGTACATGTCCAATTACGCATTATACGCATACATATTTAACGATGTCTACATTTTGGTGGACGTATGTTTTCTGTTTTTCTGATAATCAAGTTTTGTCCGAATTTGATACAGTAATAATCCATGTACTAATCCGATCCATAGCGAAATCAAACAATCACTGAATATTGCAATGCTGTAGACGAAATATAAGAAAGGAATAAATTCTTTGTAAACATTTGTTTTCAAAGGAACCGCAAACTTGATAGCATCTAAGAATGTTTCATTTTTAGATTAAAAACATGCACATTTAGAGATTGATTAATTTATACTTGATTTATAATACGCATCAAAAACTGAATATTTTCAGACCGGTTATTCGAAAAATCACTTATTCATACGAGTTTATCTCCCAATTAGTTCCGATAATCGATGTTGTACTATATTTTTCTTGTCAAAGATCAACAAAAGTATACAATATTTGATATACCGTTAAAACGTAGCAACTATGTAACATATCGCGAAAAGATTGAAAATCATTGATCTAGACTTCAGACATAAAAGAAAAAGGGCCCGGTGAAGTCCGTCCCTGGCCTCGGCGAAACCGGGCGGGCTGCTAACTCACCTCGTGCCACATTCCGCTGGCTATGCCAACGTTTTCGAAGACGAGAATGCACCGTGCCGGGCCTGACCACCACCTTTAGCACCGAACACCAACCGCACCTGCACAACCGGCACAAATCTTCAAACGGAATTCAAACGCGCACACGTGTGCTCAACGGGCACGCGTGCCCGCGCCGCGACTCGTCTGCGCTGCCCGCGCGCAGACTTACAACGCGGAAATACGAATCGCGTTATCGCACCTGTAACTACGGTAAACTTTGATCCGTGGCGTATTTATCGAGGAATAAAAAAGGATTCACTCGAAAAATCGACGTTACACGCGTTTCGCTGCGTCCCGTTACATACAAACCGTATGGCCGGTCGACGCAGACTGACCAGACTGACTGACTGAACTGCGAACAACTGCCGTCGCAACCGCGCCAACCCACTGAATACAGTGGTTCGCGCATGCGTAGATCATACATGAAATTTTGAATTCTATTTCATAAAACATTGCGGATTACTAAAGATGTTGAATATTTTTAGTGTACACGCATAATATTAAGACTACATTTAGTTTATTATTAAGTTATTCTTGAAGAGTAATGAAAATTCATTTCCTGAATTAATATTACACTGTTTTATTTTGTACAAAACTGAGCAGTCTGATTATTCGTTTAATCATTCTCACGAATAAAATTTGAATTTGCAAAACGTATGAAATTGTATCAAGTATTTTCCATGTCATTTTATTGCAATACAATCAACTTGAATTTTTGATCTCGATTAAAAGTCTAAGGAATGTCAGGCCACGAAATGGTTTATCTTGAAGGTCTTGGCATGTTACAAAGATTACACATAGAAAATCGATTTAAAATGTATATTTTACATAAATTCCAGTCTATATTATTCCTAAATATATGATTCCTATCCGCACATATCGTCCAGTCGTGTATTGCTAAAGTAATAATCGAATATAGCCTCAGGTATTCCACCGTACTTAAAAGTTGACCAATACGAATCAAACGTAAATTTATTTTGTGATATAATCGCTTATACAGAATATTATCTTATTCAGTGAAAATCGACTGAATATACATAATAGTTTAATTGTAATGCGCATAGGTATCTTCACATAAACGTATATCAATTAAAAATATTGAAATGATAACTGCGTTAATCCTCATAGTTCTTTGTTCAGTAGAAGGATAATTTACAATATCTTGTTTAATTTGTATCGTTCCTCGTTTACCTTAAACCTAACCGACGATTACATTGACGATTTAACACATTTACATGTAATATTTTCATTTATAATCGATCTTCTTCGCGCGTTTCTCTATAAACAACCTACACCATAAAATTTTCGATCACCACGCTACAAATCTCTAAATTTGTATCTTAAATACATGTAGTGCATTAGTAAATTTTTTATACTTCCATTTTTTTTTATCCATTTCAGTAATACAAGAATCGAAGAAAACTAAAGAAATAAGGGGAGAACAAAAATAATGAGCGTCGGTATAAAGAAGATGCAAAGAAAGAAATATTCCACTTCTTATCGTCGTATATATAAAACTTACATGGAAAACTAATCGATCACCGAACACTTTCACCTTTTTAAGCGGAAATAACAAATTGTATCAGCTCGATTTCTCGTTATTCGTCTCGACAAGTTTTTATACATCAAACATTTGGCAATCACCCCATGTCCATTTTTCCAGATGTATCCATGCAACAGTACACCGATTTTTGTAAACATGTTTCATGCAGCACATTTACTAATATGATTATACACCCAAGCAATAGAAATAATCGTTTCTTTATTTCTCTCTCCAAGGAATTTATAATCGACTTATCAAGCCAGAAGCACATTATTTATCTTTTAACGGCAATCTATTTTCCATGCAGGTTCCACTGTTTCTAAGAAACACCAATAAATGTACAATATAACAAAGAAGGGTAAATCCTTCGTATTACAATCTAGTATTATACATTCTTTCCCGCTTGCATTCTCAGTTTTTCTCTACCACACAGACACGTATACACACTCTCTCCCGCTCTCTCCCTCGCTCATTCTCTCGGAAATATGCAATAAACAAAATTTACACCGACGAAATACATTAACAGAGCTATCTAGCACTTAGAGCACATCGAGAAATACAGAATACAGAATGAAACTAGAAAATTTCGCGAGTGAATTATATCGTGCAACAAGTTAAATATTTGGGTATGAGTACTCTCGTATTATCGAAACTCGATAACGGTACCAATCAAAAATAAAAAATGCATATTGAACGAGTCAGTAGCGTGTATTCTGTCAAAAGTTGGGGTAGAAGTTTATAATTGTATTATGGTTTTTTTTTATTTTTTAACTTTTTACTTTTCCGACAGTCAGTTACCTCAGATATCTCTCACTACGTCTGTTGTGAGAGGTAAATAAGGGAAAAATTAGAAATAGTAGTGGAATAACAGCGTCGCATATTGGTGGTTAGCTCATAAATATTTGACCATTAAAGAGTAGCCGTTCAATAGCAGCGTTTATATCTCCGAACGTTGCGATTAGAGCTGAAAACGAGATTAAAATAATATATCAGTGAGCAATATGTTTTTTCTTTCTATCTTCCATTGTTGAAACGCAAACAAAGATAGTCCTTTTTATATTTCTTTAGATACGATAAACACAAAAAGAAGATTATATTTTAATATATTTAATCAACACAAACTAATTTTCATAAACTTGATTTTTATGAATAGACTGCGGATGTCTGTGCAAAATAGAACATTTATAGTAGTAGTTAAAAAAAATGCACTATAAATATACATCGCAATATGCACTCTTTTCATGTTTTTATTACATAGCAAGTATTCTTTCTATCTTCTGCAGATACAATTTTTCTATAAATGCATAAAATTCACCAGTCTGATTATGAAAAACCCGATAATAAAATATTTAAGAGAAGTAATACGTAGCAATACCTTGTAAATTAGCCTCTCTATTAACAAAACCCATGGCCGTGAGCTGTTCCAATTGCGCTCTGTACCGTTCTTCCGGTGGGGGGGCAGGTTGGCCATCCACTTCAACGCCTTGGTTCAATGCCATTGCCGATACCTAATAAAAACTGACTTAACAACCGGTTTTCCTCGCATACTTTTCTCCTATCCCATCAAATATTTACCATACGCGCCATAAATTGAGAAAACGCGTCTTGCTGATTCGTGTCCGGCGTTTCTTGCGTCGCCGGTGGCGTTGGATTTGTCGCAGAATTTGCGCTCGGGGTTGTAGTAGTTGGTATAGTAGGCGGTGCCGTCATCCCCATGCTAAAAATTGGATTAATCAATTATTAAATAGAACTGGAAAAGATAAACCCATCGAGGGTCGAATGAAATCTTTTTATCTATGACTTACTTTTCAACAAGATCTGGCGCAACGGTACGTAATTGTTCCATGCCTTGCTGAATTTGCATAATGGCAGCTAAAGCTTCTGGATTGGTAACAACGTTCCTCATTTGCGGATTCTGCATTTGTTGAATAAATGCAGGCATCATCGTCCTCATTTGCTCTTGCATTTGTGGATTCCCTTGCAAGAAAGGATTAGCGGAAGCAATTGAATACGCCATTCCTGGATCAGCTGCCAGAGCTTCCAACATCGATCTCGTGTACGGAGCGTTCAACATGTTTCTTATTAACTGTGGATTTTCCATCATTTGGGTCGCAAGACTCTGCATTTCAGGTGAATTAAACAATCCTCCGGTTCTTCCCTGTTGCTGTTGTTGTTGCTGTTGCTGTTGCTGTTGCGGTTGCGGTTGCGATTGCGGTTGCGGCGGCGAGGATTGTTGATTCGGCGAACTACTTTGATTCTGAGACCAAGGATTCGGTAACGGATCTCTATTTTCTTGGCCTTGTTGCGGATTATTCTGACCGTCCTCAGCACTATTATTTACTAACGCAGCAAATGGATTATTTTCGTTCACCGCTGCCGCGAACATTGGCTCTTGAATGTCGCGATACATGCGACGAAGTGCACTATAACCACCAGGAATGCTTTCTAAATTTGATATAGCTCGGTCATGAGACCGCATTAATTCTTGGAGCATAGATGGATTACGCGCCAATTCTATCGTTTGTCTGAAATAGTATTTATGATATTAATTTGAAGAATATGAAACGAATAATTTTTATTCTTACCTTAATAATTCAGGATTATTTAACATGTGGCTAATTTCAGGATTGTTTTGCATTAATTCTCGCATCTGTGGATTAGCTGCAACCAAGTGACGCATACTCTCTGTGTCATTCATCAAGCTTTGCACCAGTGGATGGTTAAGTACTACACGTAATGCTTCTGGATTTAACAACAATTCACGTTGCATGTGTTGCTGTAAATCCATAAAGTTAGTTGACCTCAAACGAAGGGATCTCGCTAACCCTGGAAGTCCTCCTAAACTTCCCAATCCAAAAGGTGATGCATTTATATCAGCTATAAAAGCATTGCGTCATTATAAAATAGAATAGAAACAAATTTGTCAAATATTCAATAAACATTACCTTGCGATCTTTGAGCTGTAGAATCTTGACTCTGATTAGTAGGAGTACGTGGTGCCTTGATAACCAGATGCACCGTCAAACCGTCTTTCACGTTATGTGTACTCAATGTTTCGTGATCCTTCATGATCTTTCCAGCAAAGATCAGGCACAGTTGTTCGGTTTGGGCATTGAACTTCTTTGAGATCGCTTCTTTGAACTGGAAATTTTGAATGAAATCAATTAAGAGTCGGAAGTTAACCCAACAATGACAAGTATGGTTCATACTTAATTACACATTTGTAATCCGGCGAAATTTCACGTCGAGAATTGAAAAACTTACGTCTTTTATGCTCGCATCTTCTTCGATCTCGACGATCTGTTTCTCTTTCGGCGTTTTGACGTTAATAGTAATTTTCTTCCGAGTGTCCTGGCCTTCTGCCATCTTGAATCGGTAGATGACTCGTTACTTTCGACGCTTTCGATTCTCCCTCGTTGAGGGCTAATTGCGCACCACTCTCCTCCGACTCTTTTTTTGCACCACGGGAATTTCGTTCGATCCCCGATAAGACTACGCTAAATTTTGTTAACAATTTATTCCAGAAGACTATAATGATCACATAGAAGGGTCAACTTAAACGACTATTCTATACTGAGCCATACTGCATAAAATGATCAAAACTACACAATATGTCAAGCCCTTGCACGCTATTTTATAAAACATCGACGTGTAGCACGTAGACCGAGAATTAAACAATTCAGGAATCTTTCGAGTTAATCTCTATTTAAACGCGCGAATGACGAAGCAACAAGCTTATTAAAAAGTGTAGTTGCACTCGGTCTTATTTACGGGAAATCACAAATTATTGAGTTGATAGGTTATGTTGCGCTGCCACTACCGTAACTTTAAAGTACTAACACAGGCGTGATTGCACTGCACGTCATGTGTTAAATATATAACCTGTATACATATGTATCGCGTCATTTAGACATGATGTTATTTTACGAAGAAATTGTGAAATCTCGTTAAAGAATCATATTCTAACATTAACTTGAATCTATAATTAATGACGAACACTGGCAAACCACTTTGTCACGGATGAGCATTAGCAAAGATGTCTACGTTAGTTGAAAACGTTTGTCCCAAGAGCATACATACGTGGTCATTGATAAAGCATTACACGTCACAATTCAAGATAATATTAAATAGTCTCTAAAACAGGAAACTGATACTAGAGTCATAGATTCATTGATATTTTATCATAAGAATAAAATTTATTTTTATCTAAATGAAATCGATTAGAATTAAGAAACAATTTTTATTAATTCACTTCTCTGTTCTGAATTTCCTGTCTTCGGTAAATTCAATCGATGCACGGACAGATTAGGAAGCCAAGTTTATCTTTTACTAGAAGAATATTTCCCTAAAAATACATTTTTAACACGAAGGATGATACGAGTGCATTGAAAGGAAACCATTTTTATTTTGTTTAGAATTCTTTGTTCATGGAAAATAATGAGATATCAGTCCACTGATTTTATTGTAGGAGAACCGTCGATTTTCCTTTCTGGGTTTCCAGCCCTCTTTGACTTGCCCGCTTAGCTTCGGCCATAGCGTCACCTTGTTCACAGCTTACAAGAAGGGCCAGTCCTTTCACCTTTCTCACTTCAGTACGAGGAAGCAGCAGATGATCATCTTCGTTAATCGAATACGTTCAACCGTGACTCTTACTTGACGCCTTCCATTTTGTGTGGAACGATTCAATATATTCAATATTGACACCTGTAGACAATAGATACAATTTAATCATTCTTGTAAGAAGAAATTAAGTAATCTGTAATGTATTTAAGAATACCTGCACTCTTTGCTAAACCTTCAGGGCTAAAAGTGAGGACTCTTTTCTCGTCTGGGTTACATCCAGTCAATAACGTTACAATCGGTGTTTCAGCGTCTGTCGTACTAACTTTTGTCTGTTGGGTAAGATAGTGACAGCACTCTATAATTTGAAAGAACAACCATGCCTCCTTATCCTTCGGCCTTGGACCTTTGATAAATGGTAGCGCCAAACGTTCGTGAGGTCTTTGAGCTCGTAAGAATCTAGAACCACGCTTCAATTGAGCTTCCAGCCATCGCGTAGCTTCTCTTGCACGGCCACTGATGCGTTTCACTTCGTCCAGTGCAGAAACAACTTAAGACAAATCATTAATAATACATGATATTAATCATTATATTATTATTAGTTTTGACACCTCTGTATTTTCTACTTACCAGCGCTAGGAATCACAACAATAAACTTTTTAGCATATACCAAACGCTTTAAAGCCGGCGTATGTTTGGATAAAGCCTCGTGATCAGGAACCAAGTAAGGAGACATAAGTCTGGATCTTAAACGAGTTTCCAGGGCACAAACTTCTGCCTTCAACCACAATTTTCCCATGTGTCTCATCAACTTTCCACGCGAGTGATCTATTTCCCAATCTTTACCACTGTTCTTGCTATTAGAATGGTTTACGTCGACTGTTACGAATAACTGTTTCGTTTGTTCATACTTCACTCCAGCATCCTCCACGGAACTGAGAAAATGCCCGAATTCGACCATCTTCAACGCTCTTAATAAAGTTTCTTCTCGCTTGTTCATTTTATGTTTGTACAGTATCTTCCAGTTTAAAGATTTCTGAGCTTCGTCTAAAACATTCAACCCTCTTAAATCAATATCCTCTGGCAATGGAACAATCTTGACACATTCTTTCAATTTATCCGCGCTTGACAATATTATGCTATCGTCTTTAAAATTTTTCAACAACAGTTCTATGTCCATGTTGATTAAATTTAATAGAATCGTAACACGTTTAAGCAAAGTTCGTGAGCTTTTCCCGCATATTCGTATAATGTCCGGGTTGCTTCTCAACCAATCAAAACAAATTTTAATGGACCCCAATATGTCTTTCCCGGTTATGATATTCAAGACATCTTCTGGTTTCAAGTTCTGTTTTTTGATTTGAGCAATATACGTCACTCTGTCCACAGATTTATTCTCATCGAAAGTACTATTACAATTAGTAGTACTTCCCGAGTCTTTATCTTTCTTCCCTATCCGATTCTCCAGTACTAGTTCACCATTTTGTAAATGATCATTGACCCCATCGGCTGTTTCGCTGTTCTTCACATGCCCATTCATCTTCTTCACTTCAGAATTTTCTTTATTTCGTTTCGACGCAGCTTCGTCGTCAGTAATATCTTCAGATAGTCCGTCTTCTGATAAGGCGTTTTCGCTTAATACATCGTCCTCTGTTTCAGAGACATCAGAGATTATTTCGTCACTAGAGGATCCCATAGTGGGATCAATATCACTCGCATCTGAATCACTACTGTTCCGGCGTTTTCGTCTTCGAAGCTTTGTGAGCAAACTTTTAGTCTTGTCTCGAATTTTTCGCACACCATTACAAATATCTCCATTATTTTCATTTACTTTCTCTGAAGAATTGTTGCTATTATTTATAACTTTAGATTCATTTTCGCTCAAGTTTGCCTGCTTACTTTTTGCAGTAGGATTCACAGACTCGTTGCTGTTAACCTTCATGTTAGATTCTATGTCGAGTAGCGGCAAGTCTATAAAAGATTCTTGCAATCTCGTTATAGTAAATTGTATTAGTTGAGACAGCACTGCCAAAGTTATGGCGACTACGCCTTGCACCTCGCTAGATTCTTTACTTTTCAATCTTGAGATAGACATCAGACAAATAGCCACGATTTTGAACAACATATCGTCCGTTAAATAATTCGTTTGCTCGTTTTTGCCACTTTCAAGGTACGCTTCGATGTTGCCCTCGTTCTTGTTAAAATTTGCGTCGTTTGATTCAGCCTGCTCTGCACTCAAGCAGTTTTCAATGCTAGTCAGAAGATCCTACAACGGATACGATTACGCTCAATGTTTTGTAAAAGCAAGAATTATGTAAAGAATTCATTCTGCGAACATGAGTGGTATATACCTGACATTCTTGATTTATTCGATCAGAATTTGGTACGTCGTAATCCCATAATTGCAATAGCGAAAACAACCTTGATACACACATATGTGTAGAAGATTTCTCATCGGTGCAAATAGAATGGGTGACAATAGCTCTCTTTAAATTTCCTTCTGCACCCTCGAATGGCTCGGCACATAAAACGCTGCAAAATTAAATTATTACTCAAAAGAACTCAATCGAGTTACAAGAATATTATAGCTTTTCAAAAATTATAACACGGCATCTTACAGATTTACAGCATATTTTTTGTAAAAAATTGCACAAGTTCCATAAAGAAAGAAAGAGAAAATCTTGCTATGAAATAAAAAAGGTATTCTAACCATCTCATGTAGTGGTATACAGCGTCAAGTCCATGATTTTTATTGCCTGCTACAGTACCCAATTGATTATGCGGCATTCCAATACTCGGATCAATTGCTATAGCCATTTTATAATACCTCTTTGCTATCATCGGATCCCAATATGGATCTAACTCTAATTTATATCTAGCTAAGTCTCCGAGGCATACCAAACTTCTATGAATTAAGCGCGTTACACACTGTTTCGTTTCTTCTGTATCATGTTTGGACTGACTCGCCTTAGCCTTTGCCTTTATAAAATATAAAAAATACAAACAAATAAATTAGTTTTCTTGCATATATTGGTTCAATGCAAAAGTTCTTGCCCGATTTGAAATAAGATATTGTTTCATTCACACAAATTATCATCTACATTTTACACTAAAATCTTTTTATGTACAAGCAAATGGACTCCCTTTTCGTAGAAACTGGAACGTTGACCAGATCGAAGTTGATCGTCCAGATCAAAATTAGCATTTTTTAATCGAACAAAACATCTTTTTACTGTTTAGAGAGTAAAAGCACAGTCCAAATATATGAACAGAATGTTTTTTGTTATAATTTCAACACACAAGCCGGTTTGAAACTCATATAACATGACATGGCGGAAATGAATTTTTTTTTCTTCATACTGAAAAACCACTCTTATGCTTAAATCAACAATTATACCCAAATCAACCTAAATCAGCGATTTCTGACAATGAGACTTATGAGCATACTGTTTTTCGATAGGTTTGTAACATTATGGTAACACAAACATGTATGCAGGAATACGATAGGATCTGACCCTCTAAAAACCAGGCACAAACTTTTGCACTGATCTAATACATTAACAAACCATCGTTTTTTCTTTTATATATGCACAGCAAGACATAGCATACACATTAAACAATGAATATCTCTAAAAAGACTTACACTTGATAATCTAGACACGTTCTGCATAAATGCAAAGTCAATAGCACCAACTAGATCCAAACCATATTGTAATTGCAGCTTCAGTATTAAGTGGTGGTAAAATCCAACACCTACTGCCAAATGAATAGACAGCATTGCTTTTTCTGTTTCAGTCCATGCATTACCCTAAAATAATCTCTCGTTACAATCTAAATTGTTAATTCAATTATGGTAATCAAATCTTAATACCTTTCTCAATTTTTTAGATGCATGAACGATATCATAGAATGCTTTTCTCCATAACAACTCTTCAGTTTTACGTGCATACCCAACAGCATCTTTTGTTATTAACCTCACACAATAATCTTTAAGCTTCACGCGTAATACTTCCCCTGAGGGAGTAAAGAAGTCTGTAATCGTCAATGCACAACTCTTTTGTTCTTCCAATCTCTTTGCAATATCTGTTATGCCCCTATCAATCAAATATATTCTATATAATAAATGGAAAAATCTATTACATGTATTGCAAAAATCTATTACATTTTTCCATATCACTCATAATGCGCATTATCTTTATAAAAAAAAAACTGATTATTTGGTTGATGCTAACGATCTGTATGAAGTAAATAAGAGTTTGCATAGCTTGGAAAAACCGAGAAAATTCTCCCGTTAGTCATTAGAAATATTTCGACTAATGGAGTTAAGCTGCGCACATAAAAGCGCGCCAATAGAAAATCATGGCGTACGCGTATAGGTTAGGTTCGCGCAAGGTGATTTCGTATTCCCAATAATTGGTAAAAAAATTGGTCGAAATACATAACAAAATTCTACATATCGTGGAATATTGTTGTAACATTATCAGAATCGAATATTACTTGTGCAAACGTCTAGTTTGTTCGAGGCAATCAGACATCCGGGCATCTGCTGCAGTGTTGTACGTCCTCCTCATTTTGCTTCGATCATTTTTCACTTCCTGGCCACTTCGTCATTATTCATTTTCCCGCGGTCTCCTGACACGCGCATCTCCGTCCCACGGTAAGAAAATTCGACATTCGCCTTCGCCTAAGTCCAAAAAACCTCCCACGAACTGCGGAGCTCACCACAATTACGCATACGCTACACGTATGCACACGTACGTACGACAATGTATGTACGTAATTGTACTACGTGCTAAAGAGAGGAAAGGAGAGTAAGGAGAGGAGACTGCTATCTGCTCCATGGACCTGAAGGACGGTGCATAGTCGCGGGTCAGAGCAGGTCAGAGCTCCCGAAAGCGGAAGGGGACACAACTCTGTTTCATAAACGTATAAGAATAGGAATAGACAATAGACCGCGCAAGCAATCCGAAAAACTGATCGGAGAAAAACAAAGACAGAGAATGATACGAGCTCTCTCTATCAGGGATCTCGTTTGCTTCCGTACACGGCTCGCTTCCCCTGTTTTTCGCCCGTTTTTCGATCCCCACTACTATTCTCCTCACGCGCCTTCGCGAAGCTCTCCGCACCGCCACCTGCATAACATTTCGTCCTAGTGATTTCTGAATTTGAATCGGACGAAATGAATTATTATGAAGAGCGAAAGTAAATGTAATGAATATAATTTATATGCATGTATATATTTGAAAAGCATAAATGTATGAGAAATAATGTATGCTTTTCGTGTTTGTAAATTTCAAATTGAATCTATTCGGGAGAGGTAAATAATAAAAGAAATGTAATTTTATTTGTTTAAAAATATATTTATTCGTCATCAGTGTTTGTAGTGTCAGTGTCATCTGTTTCATCTTGTACAATTATATTTCCTATCTCCGCAGGAATTGCTTTCCTCTTATACATGTTATTATTAAATAATTTTAACATGTCCGTTGTTACAATATAATCCATACATGTTTTTTTGTTACTTTTTAAATATAATTTGGTTCTTGTTATTGCCGCGATAGTTTCTGGGTTCAAACGATTTCTACTATCCACGTTGCCAACTTGACGAAATGTATAGCCAAAATAAGCCTACAAATCTTGAAAATCACTGCATACCCCCACCAACTATTGGTCCCCACCATGGTCGCGTCGTCCCCACTTTCCGGCATGTACGGAAGCAAACGAGATCCCTGCTCTCTATGCGCTTGTTTAACTGTGTTTGCCCCGCCTACCTTTCTGCGTATGTATATATTACAGCCGAAAGGTAGGCGGAGCAAACACAGTTAAACAAGGACATAGAGAGAGTCCGTATCATTCTCTTTTTCTGTTTTTTTACTATCGCTTCTTCGGTTCGGACTGCTAGCGCGGTTTACTCTTATATGTTTATGACTCAGAGCTCTTTTCCCTTCCTGTTTTTGAAAGTCTACCCGCTCGCACGTAAGTCCGCTTCATGAATCTTCCTGCTTCGACGTGCCTTTATCGCAGCGGTGCCATAACTTTTCCCTCGGCCGGAAAGTGGGGACGACGCGAACATGGTGGGGACCATAGCGCTGCGGAGAGCTTCGCGAACGCGCATGAGCACGCATGAGGGGAATAGTAGTGGGGATCGAAATACGGGCGAAAAACAGGGGAAGCGAGCCTCGAGGGAAAAGTTATGGCACCGCTGCTTTATCGAAAGTGATGCACCATGCGGTTAATTCTGGAGAAGTGTGGGGAGAGCTTATGATATTGTTGAAATAAATAAGCCACGTGTTCCTTTTCGATCGTTTATTTCACCTCACTTTTACGAATCGTTCTTTTCTGTATGAAACCACGAGGCGTTCGGAGGTAACACTTTGTGCTAAGGATTTTTCCGTTACAGTGTAGAAAAAAGGGGAGGTAAACTTAAAAACTAATCTTACCAACTAAGTAACAACACAACTTACTAGCTAATTAAACCTAACGTGTCGCGGACCCGTCTAGGGACCTTTTCGCCACAGAAGACTCCATCGTAGCTCCATCTCGTAGGAGAGAGAAGTTTCTCTTTGGTCACTTTGGCCGGTATTCACAGTCCGTGCCACAGCCTTCTTTAATACCTAGCCATGCTGAGAGTTGAATGGCAACACCAGAGAGAAACTGAGAGTGCTCATGGAGCCGTTTTGGCGTCTCCCATACTAGTGCTGCACCTTGCGGCCAACTGGGGAAGATGGTCCACCTTTAGCATGTAGCAGAACCTTTGTAGGAGAAATCTACCCTGTTC